TAACCAAGTATCAATAAAAAAAATTGGTTCAAGTACAGGAATGAAAAACACATCTCCTCTATAGGTCATGACTAATGTTTATAGACCTCCCACTGGCGGGCACAGTAATAACCAGTGTACTATCCCACTGATAGGAATAATAGGACAAATCGGTTTCCAAGAATACATCTCGACATGTACTAGCATTTATAAACCTCCCACTAGTGGGCACAGTAAAACATGACCATATTGGAGACTAAATCATGTAGGAGTTTTAGGAAAATCCATAATTTACAAACCAATTTCAGGTTATCAAAACAGTTCAGTAAACTCCAAGTAGGCATGCTCAAATCAATAAATGATAACAACTTCATTATAAACCAATCATGCTCGTTGTTGTGTAAAACGGGTTTAGTCTTGCCACCACTTCAAAAAACAATTCAAAATTATGCTTTAAAAACCTTACCTTAAAATCCATGGGCATTTACCATAGTTTTACTTACCTCGCCTTGTAGGTATACAACAAGTTAGAATTTCAAGGACTCAAGGTGATTGAGATAATTTAGAACCTATACCACATCAAATGAATACTTAGAATATGCTTAAAACAACTCTAAAAAGACACACGAAATAGCAGATATCCCAAACAGACTTTTTGGACAAAATAAGGTGAAAAATGGGAGAAACCAAGCTCAAAACCATTCTAGACACCAGCAAAAATATTGGGTAGTAAAGTGGGGGGTTTTGCCATTTAAAGCAATCCCAAAATGCTTGGAAAAAAGCCATGAACAATAGGGATTTTTTTTTCTCTAGGCAAAAGACAGTAGCAAAACAGGGTAGATTACAAGCCAAAACTATGCAGAGCAAAAATGTGGTAGCAAAAAAGCAACCAAAACAAAGCAATAACAAGGGGTTTTAGAGTAGGAAAATAGCAACTAAAAGTCTACTAAAACTATGAAGCGATATGGCAGCAAATAATGTGGGAATTAAGCAGAAAACATAACAAATTTCTGGGAAAGTTCTAGTCAGATTTTGAATAAGAAGTTTCAACAAAATTCGCAACCAGAAATTGATCGATCTAGGTTAAGTGATCAACAGATAAATTGTAGCCCTATGTTTTAGCATTCTATAGATCAAGAATAACCTTAATCTGATATCTACAGAGAAAGTTATGGCTAAAATACTAACTTATGGTCGGGCTGCTAGTTCTGTCCATTTGTAGGAATTGAATTTGCAGCAAAGTTTTCACCATGAAAATAACTTAACTGGGCTAAATGTCCAACATAAAAATTTTAGGGATATCTCTTAACTTTCTACAGAATTAAGAATGAACTCAATCTAATATCTACAAAAAAGACTTATGGCCAAAACATTACTATAAGGTCATGTTGTCAAAATTTCTAGCAAAATGAATCAGATCTGGTGGCACTAAGGCAAAACTAAGGAGGAAAACTATAGACAAATCCAAAAATTGAAAACCCTAAAGGATTAGAGTTAACCCAACTCAAATCAAAGATGAAAAGATTAGCACATGGCTGATTTCTTACCTGAAAGTGTTAGAAAATGGCAACCTCCCTTGCACTATACAAACCCAACACGGACTAGAAGATTAGACTAATACTAGCAGCAAGATCTAGGTTTTGATCATGATTTTGAGAACCATGAGACTATTGATCTCTATATCTCGCTAAGAGAAGGAATAAAAAGCTTAGTCTCACATATTTTTCTAACAAATTGAGACTGGGCACAAGCTAGGGATTGGGGAGTCAGAGTTTTTGGTGAAGGGTTGTAGAGTCACGAAAAAGGAAAGGAGAGAAAGAGCAGAATCAACTCAGCTTCTTTTTATAACTAGATTTCACTTTTAACCTCCTTAGGTTTGTCAATTTTAATCATTAGACCCAACAATAATAATTCCTCCCATATAAATCCCTAACTTAAATTTAAAATCACTTATACTAATATATTCATGTATACATATATAAGTCTAAAATTTCAAAAATTTTGGGATATTACACTTAGATTTTCCAATATGTATTTAATGGTGATAAGTTTTCTATAATCAATAAACGAATTATGTATATTCAATCAATTTGAAACTAATAAGCATGATCTACATTAATAGGGTACTAAATCTAATGATTAATTTTTGAAAATATTCATTAGAAGGTGGTGTTTTTGAAATTGGGACTCCAATTTTTTTATTAAGAGTCAAGACTAATTTGCACTATTTAAACGAAGGAAAATTAAATTTAAATTTTCAAACATAAAAAAATGATGTGGCAAGCCACATCACTAATCCCATAGATTTGTCCTACCATCACCCTAATTCAAATCAAGATATTGGCACAATTACTTAATTTGATAGTTTAAGAAAAAAAATATTTTGTAGTTCAAATTATGTTAAACTACACAACTTGAACTATTAAATGGAGAACCAATTCCTTACTATAGTTTCTAGGGAACTACCCCAATGAATCAAAATGTTCTTTCTTTTCTATGCTAATTTCTTCACTTACAAAATTTTTGCTTTAAGACGACATTAGACTTCGCAATTTAAATTATTGGAAGGAAAGTCAAATTTTAATATTAAGAATTATCTTTCATTTAATAGTTCTTGAATTACAATTTAATGCAAATTAAACTACAAATAATGTACTCTTAATTTAAATTTATTTTCCTCATTTTCTCTTAATTAACTTCCTAAACTCCTCTAATTATTTGTTTTTGAGACCATAACTTCTCACATATACTTTATGAGTTTTATCCCATAAATTTTATATTATTACTATAATTGGTCTAAAATAGATGAAATTCCATTATGTTAGTCGTGTAGTTGTGTTTACTTCATTAACTCTATCATCATCAACACCATGTTGGTGTAAATATAGTCCACTTAGACCTATGACGGCAAAAAAAAAAAAAAAAAAAGGCTTCCCAAAACACACATGGGTCTCATCTTAGATGGGATTTTTTTACCTTCATGAATCCAAGTAGACTATATTTATGCTAGCATGGCATTGACGAGGAAAGGGTAACAAATTAAAGATAGCCACATAACTCATATGAGATAGGATTCCATTTATTTTATGTTAATTACAATAATAACATGAAGTTTAAGAGTAAAAGTATAAAAAGTATATATTAAGGGACTAATAATCTAAAAAACAAAAAATTAGAGGGCTTTGGGGGGTTATGTTCCTATGACATTGTAAGAAAACCAAAAAGGAAAACCATATGTTAAGGCTTTAAACTAACCCCATATTTACCATTGAACCCCTAAACTTTAATTGATGCATATAAGCCCTAAACTCCATGAGCAATTTAATCCTCATTCTTATGGTAATTTAGCCCTTATTCTTATAGTAGTTAAAGAATTAAAGGTTAAATTGCTCAGATTATGGAGTTTAGAGCTTATATATATATATCAATTAAAGTTTAAAAAGCTCAATAGTAAATTTGGAGTTAGTGTAAGAGCTTAACATATAGTTTTGCCAATGAAAAAACCAACATAATATCAACCTACCATCTGGAACGGCGTGGGTTATTGCCACCCATTCAATTTAGTTAAGGTTATTAATTTTATTGTAATTTTATTAGCTTGTAATTTTTTAAATTAATCATGATACTTAAAAATATTTATTTATAAGTTAATTTTAATATATTTAATAATAAATATTAATTATTTTTAATAGTTAAATTAAAATAAAAATTTGATAATTATTAATGGTCTTGGCAAATTGAAAGATAATCATAACTATAACTTTTGGAGCAAGATACGGATGTGATTATGACCAACACTATTTTGTATTAAGATCACCTAAAAATTAATTAATTTAATTAATATTTTATTTAACAATAGTTTTTTTAATTATTAATTATGATATTTAAAAATATTTTAAATAATAAATAATGTTAATTACTTTATTAATTATTAATTATTTTAATAATTAGATAAAACAAAATTAAATAAACTTAATAAAATAGTTAACGACCATCTCCGCACACACGGTTGTAGGATAGAAGAAACCGACATCATAACAAACCGAACATGCCAAATTCCTAAACACCCTCTCTGTACCTCTAGTCTCCTAACCAATTTAAAAGTTTTAACTACTCACTTTTATGTTATATAATTTTTAATCCTAAAAGTTAAAAATTTAAAAATTTAATCTCATAAACTAATAGAATTATTAACTTTTTGTTAAGTTGAGAATAAAATATTTATAAAATCAATCCTTAAAAATTAAAAATATGACAATTTAGTCTCTAAAGTGTAAAAATTAAAAAATTATTAAATTAAAAATAGTTAATGCATGTCTTTACCACATATACAAGCACAATATTAGATATCTATAACAAATCAAACGATTAATTCAATTTAAAGAAGGAACTTTGACTAAGATTAAAGAAAATTTTTTAGCTGAGTTAATATAAAAAGTCAAAGAGATTAGAATAATATAACTAAGAAATTATTTCTTTAATCTCAGTTAGATTTTTTTCTTTAGATTGAACTAATCACTCAATTTGATTGTAAATATTTAATATTATTCTCATATATGTGACAAAGACATCTACTAATTATCTTTAATTTATTATTTTTTTAATTTTTAAATTTTG